CCCAAAAAGGGCTTTTTAGCATAATTGGGAAAATATTCAACATCCCATCTTATAGAAGCCTGAAAAACAAGTTTTCAGTCAAGTATACATCGTTGTTACCTACAGGGTACACTTATGTAGGTACGTATATACTTTTTGAAAAAAAGTATAAAATGAAACGGTATACAATATGAATCCATCGCGAAGGACACACCGGACGTCTGGGATCGCGAGACGATCTCCGGCCACCGTAAGCGCGGGCCTGCGGACGGCGAGCATGGGTGGCTCGCCGCCCGGCCAGAACCAGACCCTGAGCGTGCGGCGCGTCGCGTACCGCACGCGCCTCAAAGAGCCGTCAGACCACCACGGATGGGGCCCAATGCAAAAAGGCTGATGCCGATTCGGAGTCCTAACGGGTTACCGGGGCTCCGGATCGAAGTGCAGGAGAAGGAACGGGGTGGTTTTAGGTAGTCAGTAAGAGTCTGACACTCCCTCCCGGCTCACCCAGGCGGGAAAAGCAATTGATGATTTTCCCCTCTTAAAAAAAATACAACACGAATGAGACATACCTCAAACATGTGTGTCTCCACTCAATTTTCAAATCAACAAATTTCAAATCTCCAATTGTAAAATACAATACAATTTTTTCTTTATCACTACTCATTGTTCTGTTTTTGCCTGTAACTCCTTAAAACTTATATCAAAAATCGATCTTAATCCATAGATTTTTTAATGAGACCGATCATTAATAACATAAGATAGCTTTGACAACCCTAAAACTTTTAAAATTGTGATTCCAACTATATAGGCAAGATAATGACAAACCATTTTAATAAATGCAATCTCCTATTGAGCTGCTGAGTGTGGAGATTTTAATAAATAATCAGAAGAGGTCTGTAGTCCAGCAGAGGACTGTCGTAGGCCATTGATGATGATCAATGATGAAAGGCACCATTATTCACTTAGCTTCTAATTAGTTCCCATTATTAAAATGTAGGTATCCTTAAATGCATAGTGATATAAATTTCCATCGTAAACATTTTTTTATATAACATAGACGCTTTTTCGTTCTTTTTCGTTCATATTCTACGCAATTAACGATTAAACATTCAATGAAAAAAAAATACGTTCTAAGTAATGTAATTTATTTAATTCCCGCCACGATCAAAAGTCGTGAGGATGTCGTGAGGTATAAATAGCGTATCGTGCCCACGCAAAATTGGCAAACTATACACAGATGAATAGGATCCTCGGTTTCAAAGTTTCGTCCTGGCAGTGACGTCATTGTTTATTTGACATGTGCTGTGGCTCCGGCCGCTAACTACAAAACTGCAGTCGATCATAGTTAGGAAACTGTTATTTGGATCAAAGGTGCTTTGTTTTGAGATAAAATATCAGTCGAGACAGGTATTAATACTTTTTATGAATGGTGTAAAGATATAAAATACTTAGGTACTAGCTTCTGCCCGCGACTTCGTACGCGCGATCCCGTTTTCTCCAGTTCCCGTAAGGTTTTCAGGATTTTTCTGTCTTAAGAACGTTCTCCTAATTAAATACAATAAAAAAATAATTAGTGAAATCGGTCCAGCCATTCACGCGTGATGCCGTGACCAAGGGAAAAAAGGATTCATTTGTATATAGATTGCGTTCTACAACTAGACGCGCGGAGGCGTTGAAGAAGTAATTTCTTTCATTGTCAATCGAATTTTATTAATTACGTACATAATATTCTGCTTGTTAGATATTATTGTTATTTTCTGTTTGACTGTTTTCTGTTGGTACCAATTGAAGTATCACATAACTTTTAAACCTTTTCAGTTTTATAAGAGCGTAATAATTGCTATCCCTACGGAGAAAATCATCCCTATTTCTACCCAGCTACGTATTTGCTCATAGGTATAATTGAGTCACAAGCACATATGTCGGCCTCTATATGTACATAATTGTCAAGGGCCCACGTTTGAACCTATTAAATATCCAGGATTCATGGAACCTTTATAGTAAATCCGCGCCTATTTCCAGCCCAGTGCCCACAATCCCTAGAGGCAAATTATTTTCAGTAGAATGTTATATAGTGACCAGATTGGCGATATATTAAAGAAGGGCCAAATTAAAAGTACCCTTAACCGACGAGCATGCATGAAAAGATTGATGACTGTTAATGAAGCGAAAGAGGTATGTAAGAATCGTAGTAATTGGCGTTCCTGAGTCTCTGCCTACCCCCATGGGAGACAGGCGTGAAGTTATGTATGTATGTATGTATGTTCTTGGAAATTCTGAACTCTAAACCAATGTATGTACCTAGCCGTGATTTTTTGTTGTGCTAAGTTTAGTGTTTTTGAGATAAAACTGACGCTCCTCTATATTAATTTCTGGCGTATGAGAGCCGTTCTTCTTGTTTATGTTTGACTGGAGTGATACCATTGCCTTAAGAAACATCGCCGTAAAACATAATGTTGTATTTAGTCGTGTGAGGGTTACCTAAGAGGCCTAATCCATTGTCGCGGAGAACCTAACGGGTTACCGGGACTCCGCCTTGACGTGCAGGAGAAGGAACGGGGTGGTTTTTAGTCAATAAGAGTCTGACACTCCCTCCCGCCTCACCCAGGCGGGAGCAGCCATTCGATGATTTTCCCCACTTAAAAAAATCCTATTACATTTCGTTTAGTTTTGGTATAAAACTGACCACTACACTAAAACTACATGGAAAATCCACTCTATCATTGAATAACTATACAAAAGCATCCCATTTTATAATTAGTGTACAAAACACAGAAGATAGAAGTGCAGAAATCAGGCTTATGTTTCATTTATTTTCCAAAATAATGAGCAGGATGCGAGAATATGTTGCATAATATTAATACAATACCTGTGGTATTAACACGGACCTTTCCCATTATACTAATGTATGTACATTACGCGGATATGTCACAGAAGTACTATCCATCTGTTCGTCCGAGTTTAAACACTTATGATAAAACATAAAACAGCTTATTAACAAGAGTTCTGTAAGACTGCCTCGACTGCCTCGTTGGCCGAGTGGTCGGTAGAACGAAGTCTGGAATTGTGCCCGGTATAAGGCAATAGGCTCACCCCCTATTACATGGGTCTCATACACCTACATAAATAGCGAAGAGTGGATGTTACATTGTACAGTGACATTAAGTACTGTAATGTGCACCTCTGCCTATCTCTTTGGGGATAAAAGGCGATGTTATGAGATCCGAGGTATGTAGGAACCGTAGCAGATGGCGTTCCAGTTTCTGCCTACCTCAATGGGAGACAGTCGAGAAGTTATGTAATATGTATGTATGTGTGTATAAAACAGATTATTCTTAGAATACATTTTTGAATAATGGCATCTAAAATGACCTATACCTACCCTTTATACCTCATTCTTTTAAACAGCAAGAATAATGCAAGCCGTTCTTTTGTAGAGGACACTCATTTTTCAGCAATAGACTCTCATAGGTTGTTGATAATGATGATAAATAGGAGTTATGGAAATGGTGTTGAGACGGTAGGTATGGTCTTTAGTCAGTAACCGTCTTATTACAAAAGTTCGACTTAGTACTGGTTTAAACCCGGACTATAAGATCTAGGTTTGTTACGGTATTAAAGCTAGACACTCCCTTCCGCCTCACCCAGGCGGGAGCAGTCATTCGATGATTTTCCCCCCTTAAAAAAAAAGTACCAAAGAAAGTCCATAGTCCCACAGATAAAAACATTCTTTCATTCACTCAGGATCCACTTGAAGCAACGTTCCGTTCGTCTAAATATTGTTATACAATAACGCCTGAAATACTTAAATAATTATGTATCAACAAAAAATTGTATCATAAATTGTTTTTTGTTTGTGTTACAATATAGTGAACAAGTACAACTTGTATTTTGAGGAGCTTTTTATAACCAAGTTGTCATATGTATTTTTTAACACCTCTAGCGTGAAATCGAGCGACTTATAAGAAGGCGGCAGAGCACGAATCACGAAACAAACTTTCGATATAGAAAGTCTTCGTCACTCAAGTCAAAGGAATTTCTGTACGATCGCCGAGACGTCTCTAACATGTCCAAATCTTCCAAATCTTTTAAATCCATAACATCAATCGGTTCAATATCCATTTTACAATTATAATAATATAGAAGATACACGTAAATATTTCTGATAGCTAACCTCAAATAACTTTAGCACCGAAGTTAAACTAGGGGTCTCGGTGGTTTAACTTTAGTACCATAGATAGTTCCGGAACTAGTGATAAACTTTGTTTTATAATAACGTTTTATTTAGTCATGGTTTAAACCTAGTATTAATCCTGGTACTAAAAATAGATCGGGTTTTGTAATAAGACGGTAAGAGTCCAGAGCAAATTAAGAGGTATCGTTTGATGATTCCCCACTTAAAATCCCCTCTGAAATAGCTAACGGTCACCCTGTTGATAAGCTAAATGATAATACTATTATTATTTTCTCCTCTGACCGGATTAACGGTCTTCATAAATAATTAATTATATTCAAGAACGAAACATTTTGAAATGCGGACGAGAATTCAAATGTGTCGACGAAACCGTACCGAAACGTACCTAAAAACCCCTATAAACCCAGTAACATGCTAATATTTTGTTATTATTCCTTTTAGCGACAAAATATTAAAATGTTTTTAATATTATGATGTTATAAGACAATAATTATATCTGCCTACCTGCCCTTCTTAATACAGCTTAAGAGTATGTTTGTTGATTTGAACGAGTTATCTCAAGAACCACTGATTCGATTTGAATAATTAATTATATGTTGGTTGGCTATATTTATAATGTTAAGCTACGCTTAATAGTAGCCTAGAAAAAAGCACGAGAGAAGCTATTTATCTAGAAACTTCCATGTATTTAATAAAAGAAACGTGTCATGCAAAATAAAAAGCCGCGCGGCGCGCCGCCGCAACGCTGTTTGAGCTGTCGTTTGCTGTACTGTAGCATCTGCCAATAACTGGCATAGGTAGGTACGCGATTCCGTAAGTACTCGTACGAACACACCCGAATGATCCCGAACGCTCAAATGACCGACCGTATAGACGCCAGCACGTGACGTTACTCTAATCTGTCAAATTACTTTCAAACATTTTCAACCTTATGAAGTTCGATATAAAGTCGAAAATCAAGAGAAGAAATTTGAGAAGGTTTACCTGCACTTCCCATGAGAGGGCGTTCTATTCGCAGTGTGCGAGTGGTGCGAACATACTGTGCGAGTTACCAGTGAATTTAGTGATCGCTTGTACTAACATAGGCTCGTACCTACGTATTCGTGTGTACAGATTCAACGTCACAAACAAAACAAAGCTTGGTGGAATTTAAAACATAAATAAAGATGAATAAAGTGAATACAGAACAATTTATTAACTTGGTCCACGAACATAAATGTTTATGGGATCTGAATGATTCGAATTATCGTAAACGTGGATATCAGGACGCGGCATGGCTTAAAATATCGAAAGAAATGGATATACCTCGTAAGTATAGTTGATTATGTAAATAATGTGTTGTTTTAATCGTGTAAAGTACCGACTTAGGTATTGCTAAGTACCTAAATCAGACCAATAGTGTAGTGTATTCTATTGCTTTTCAGTTTATACACTAAAAAAGAAATGGCGTGGGCTAAGGGACACTTTCGGGATAGAACTAAAGAAAATCGACAGCAAAATTCTTTCTGGTGAAGCTACTACAGACACTGAATCTAAATGGGCCCACTATAAGCACATGTTGTTTCTACGAGATATTATGAAGAAAAGAAGCATATCAAAAACAAGTGCGAATTTTCTAACCGAATCTATCAAGGAGGAAGAGGATACAAATATCAGTTCATATTCGGATAACTTCCAACCTTCGCCATCACCCTGTCAATCGACAATAGCATTCAAGCCACTACAAATCGAAGAGAACAACTTAAAATGCTTTCCAGAAATCACATACGATTCAGATGCCCAATTTCTAATGAGCCTCTTACCATTTTTAAAGGATATCCCTAAACATCGCAAATTACACGTTCGAGCAAAATTACAACAAGTTTTTATAGATGAATTAGATGTTCACAACTCTGATCCAATACAATGTTGAAAACAATTCACTTCTTTGAATAAATGAGTGTGTATCTTTAGGTCTATGCTTTTAACGTAAATCCATAACAAAATAGGAAGCCTCAAAAGGCAACAATACGCTACGGAAATTAAGAAAAAAAAAAAGAAAATCTCACCCCTCGATATTTGCGGAGGGTGGCAACCACAGACTAAATAAGGTGGTGGATTACGCCTGCCGGCTCAGCCGGCTGCCATCGATTGCTAGTACCATCCGAGTACATGTGACTAGAAACACCTCCCCGTCACAATATATTATTTGATAAGAATAATTAAATATGAGTGTATCATCTCTAGAGGAACAGCCTGGGGTGGGTTTGTTAATAAAAGTGTTATATTCATGCTTTGTGCCTAAGTTTGGTTATAATTTAACGATGTGGCTTCACACACGGTGAAAAATCTTTATGTGCAAGTGTGAGTGGAATTACAATGCAAATTAGCATTTGTTAGTTTATTTTTTGTATATTAATAGTTTGTATGAAACGAAAAACCACCTGGTAAAAATAAAAAGCAATGTCACATTACTCATTAATTAAAAATTGTATTCATTCCACCGCTTCAGCGCTTTGTTTTATTTATCGCATCCATTTCACAAATGTTCCTACATTACCGCTTGATCAATAATTTATTCTCTAGTGACCAATCACCAAATAACACAAAAGAGAAAATAGTAATACGTGTAAATATTTAATTTTAAAAACGACTCCTTGCACTGAACTTTTTTAGTAATAGCAACTCAGAGTATTATATAAGCTGTGGCAGGAACATTCCAATACTGCAACAGACAAAGAAAATAACTTTGGGCCCTGGATAAAATTTTTCACTTATAATTATGTTGAAATAGTAGCAGATTGAATTTGTTTAATAACTTTTATATCATATATTTAAATCCATGTTGAGATGGTTTTCAATTTTCGCATAGGTTAATGTAATATAAATCATGGTTTAGAACGCACCTCAAAAATGTTGCGACTATAAAAAAAATACCGATAAATGTTGCACATTTGATTCGAAAGATTTTAAAAATAAATATGTCCACTACATGAACTCATAAAAAGTACCATAGCTATAAATTACAAATAATTTTTAAGACTTAAAATACTTTTCGTTTTGCGTGATATTTGTGTGATTTGGATTGGTAAACGTTACTAGTAAAATACCAAAATGAACCAAAAATGTTTTGTGCTACTTTAGTAAAATATGCATTACTTATGTAATAATAATATAATAATAATAAAATGTAAAAGTAATAAAGGTGTACCCTTTATTACTTTTACATTTCAAACAAGAATCTTCAAGCCAGTTGGTTCAAAGTTCCATTAATTTAATTACCATAAATCGGGAAAAAGTGCATTCCATTCATGGCAACACAGAAAACCAGTCACGTCACTTCTCGACGTTAGTGTGGGTGCGTTGTGCGTGCGTGCGTCTGTTCATGAATTTGTGAGTGCTTTTTCATGTTTGTGTGTATTTCTGACGCCGTTTGTGACTTGCCTGTCATCCCTCTAATTTTGGATTTTTATCAATAAAACTCTTCAAACTGTCGTCTTTGGGTACGTAAACTTTATTTATCTGCCGACGCTCATTCAAATCAGAGGTTACCCAAAACATTGTATTATTGTTATACGTGTAACCTGTTTGGCAGGCGTTGCCTGCCTGCGGTCAGTGGCCATAATTCGAAATTATATTAAACTCGCTGTAAATTTAGTGTTTTACGGTAAATTCGGTTATCGAATGTGTTATCTGGAAGCCGGTTATCTTGCGATTCCAAGTGTAGCTCGTGTTATTATCTCGGTGCGGGGGCTAGGCGATCGTATCGGCGGGTATGAGCTAACAGGCTATAAACTCAGTCGGCTTTTTGATGCCGGTCGGTGTACAAGTGTTCGCGCGTTAAAGCATGAAATTATAATGGTGGGGGTAGTGTGTTGTCTGTCTGTTTGTTTTTGTGTCGTGTGTGAAGTGAGCTAAGTGCTTGTTCTGTTGCAGGCTGGCAGGATGCTAAAGTTCATACGCGGCAAGGGCCAGCAGCCCTCTGCTGAGAGGCAGAAACTTCAGAATGAACTGTTTGCCTTCCGCAAGGTATGTATTTAGTGTATACTCATAGCCATAGCAATTATTGCACTTTAGAAAGTCCAAAACAAAAGTTTGATACAAGTCTACCAAGTTATATGTCTGTGTTTTAGCTACTAATGCCACAAACCTATTGTTTTGATAGTTAATATCAGAAGGAAAAGTCCGAACTTGCAAATAATCATTATAAGTGCAATACTTAATGAATTATGTCATTAGTCTGATTCTGATAACATTACAATGAAGCTTATCAGTATGAGTTGGAATGTGCTTCAAATCCTTTACAACTTCTTTAAAGTTACTTACAGAGGACAAGTAGTTATAGTTTTAGTAAACTTTATTGTGTTTTTGAATGTAAACAATCAATGTGAAACTTACTGAAAAAAGTATATAATTATAAACTTGAGAGATGTTACTTTAAAAAAAAATTAGGTTGTATGTTCGAAGCATTCCGAAGAATTATATTTAAATGAATTTGCAGATTTTAATGACCGGTTAAAAGTATGTTCTCTTACATTATATTCACATTCTTGGAATTTCCAAAACAAGAAAAAAATTAACAACTCCATAAAAATATTAGAGTAGAAACTTAGAAACTTTTCTACTAATATTGTTAAAAATAATAGAATCTCACATCATGATACAACTCTGTATTTATGATACTAACAAAAAAGTAAATAAAGCTATGACTAATGACAATATTGAATCTCTGGTTCATATTGTTTGCCTTCGCCAGCCAGTTGTAAAAAACAACTAATTTACTCTATGACATAATGAATGTGCTGTGAGAACTGAGCCACTACAATGAGTAATTATGACGCATTTCTTCATATTTAATTAATAACTCTGCTCTTATTAACATTAGATGTGTTGAATATGATTTTCATTTAAATAAGTAGGTATCCACTTTGTTTACAAATCTTTTATGCATGTATCTTTTGTAGCATACCATAACAGTATATTTCTGATTGGCAGAATGTTTAAGAAGTAGGTGTTTTCTAAGTAACATGTTTAAAAGTTATTCAACCTATTACTAAACTCTGCACAGAAATTCAATGTTGATCATCAAAAAGTTTTTAATACTTCAAAAACAGTGTAAAACTTTACTTGATTCTAGAAGACCTAAGCATAGACTGAATTAGAATTATGTACCACATAGAATGCATAGCTCTGTGGTTAGGTTTGTCCAATTATTCAGCAAGGTTACCTGATTATTATGACTAACGACCTTCTTGCACACACCCTGATTCTATTGTGATGTTACAATGTATGTGTACGTACAATGGGTATGAATATAAATATTTTTAAGCAGGTTAAAAATAAAATTGCAAGATTTTTCTTAACTACATATTTACATGCATAAATAAGGAAACACCATTGTTACTAATATAAATAAAATTACTTTTTTTATTAGTTTCTTAGCTAATTTCAATATCATCATACTATGACAAAATTAGTCACTGTCGCATTAAAATCATTACACCTTTATGTACCTAATGTGACTGTAGTAAAAAATTAAAAATGCATTGCAAACATTAAATTAAAGTTTCAGTCTTCAAAAAATATTAGGCCCCATATTACAAAGATAACTCGACCTGCTAGATTACGAAACTGTTTGCCTTTGTTATCGCCCTTTATTATTTGTTTTTAGATTAGACAGCACATAATTTTTACAGTACCGACCTGAAATTTCAGCTTCAAAATGGGCCATGGTCATAGTTGCGACACTTACTTATCTTGATTCATTACGTTTGTGCAGATTTCAGTTAAACTTCGTGCCTATTATAAATTTTCCCTAAATTAACTTGTTATTTTAACCGCAAAAGTTTACGTTTGCACATCATCACGTCCTCGGTTTTACGTAGGAAAACGAACGTCAATGGTTTAATGGGAATAGTTGGCCTTGACAGTGTCTTATTTAGTGAGCAATAAGAGCGTGTATCGCTATGCAATTTATTAGTACCGCAGTCTGAATGCAACATTTTCATTTTTGGTGTCGCCATTGAAATTCCAAAGGTCAATTTTAGTAGCAAACCAATCAGAACTGTTTACTACAATGACGTTGATATAAAACATCATTATTAATTTTGTCTATTGATCGTCATTCACAAGTAAGTTTCTTATTGGAATCTATTAAGGATGACGGTTTCAATTGTCGCTGACTCCAACCAGATTGGAATCAAGGTCGTCATATTGTTTCGAATCAGCGTTCGACTGTGATGACGATCGATCGCATCTTTACATCTATGGAACGGGTTTGATGTCAAGTTAATGAACTCTGCAAGCGTTCGTTCCAGTTATAATGGAGGAAGTTTCGGTCTGAATGTGGACTGGTTTTGGATGTGAATGTCTAGATTTTAAGTTAGGCAATAAAATGAGTTTCAATATTTGTTCGTTTAACAGAATATTTCTATATAGAACAGCTAAACCTGTACCGCTCTTTAGTGCTACGACGTCTTCCTTACTATTTCAAAATTTTCCAATACCACTTAAAACTTAGCAAGCTGCTGCCTCAAAAATTAATCCAATAATTTTTACAACCATTTTAAATTCTTTCCTTAATTGTCCTATTTGCAGGAACAATGTATTAGGCTGAATTCCTCTCGAGTTACGAGAATTAATTAATTAGAACTTCGCCATTTAAACGATGTCATCGACTTAGCCTTGTCTTAGTGTTTGGATCTTGCTATTGTTATGATTAACCGTAAGGACTTATACTTGGAAACAATAGATATTGGTTATCTAATTAAGTGTTCTCCCCGTGTGTCCTGTTACTATAACATCGTTACTTGATAGTCTGCATCTGTCATTAAGAATAGTCGTATCACAATTGGTTTACGAAATCACGAAGATCATGTAAAATAAATCATTGGGAGATACCTGTATCAAGACAATATAAACGTAAAATCCAAGTCCAATCCTTACTAATCTTATAAATCGGAAAGTGAGTTTGTTTGTTTGTTCCGCTTTCACGCCGTAAGTACTAAACCGATTGCTTTTAATATTTGCAGACGTAAAGTTAGAAGTCTGGATTAAGTAATAGGGTACTTTTTATCCCGGAAAAATTTGATATTCTCGAGGAAAAACGAAATCATTGGTATAGATGGCGCTGTGTGTATATGTCACATAGGCTTCTTTTTATCCTTTTGTGACGCGAGCGAAGCCCGAGGTAAAAGCTAGTATTGCAATAAAAGAAAAGAAACATAGTAAGTTTGCGCGCCGCATTCACTACCATGAATTATTTGCCATGAAAGATTTGCCATCTTGATTAAATAAATGATAACAAAAGAATTCAAATCTTTTCCTTCACTCCCAAAATAACATAATTCATGAGTTTTCCTTGTACATATTTACCTACCGTTTGTTACTAAAATTGTATATAACCAAACAGTGTAGCCTTTATCGTACTTTATCGGATATCGGTTAGATAGTGCTGTACAATCAATATCTGTACTTGTCGTCAATGCTAGACCGGTTGAGGGTTACCACTTGTAATAACTAATAAGTCTTCAATCTTCACTGCAAAGTCGCAAGAACAAAGGATCGAGCTCAGAAAGTAATATTAAAGAAATCAATCTGTAAGAGATTCGATTCTTGATTCTA